CGGAGAAGGTGGGGAGTCAGAGGCCCCGGCCTCCCCCTGCTTCGTCATCGCCTCCCCCTGGGCCTCACCACCAGCCCGGGAGGCAAGGCCGTCTTAGGGGCGGGACGTGGAGGCTCTGACCCGAGCACTTCCCCTTATGTTACCGTCTTCTGGCCGGAAGATGTCTCCTTTTTTGGAGGGGCCAGCAGTCCTGACCTTCAAGGCTCTGCATGACCTGGCCCCGTCTGCGTCGCCCACTCACCTTCCCTGGTGGAGCCACGCTGGCCGGCTCAGTTCCTCTCCTTCGCCTCCCCCCATCCCTTCACTCCTCCTTCTGTCGGGGTTGAGATGACACTCAGAGGCCTCCCTGACCGCCCACAGTATGGCCCTCCACCCTCGCCATTGTGCTCCTTCCCAGGGCTTGTTTCCTTCATAGCACCACTGTAACTTGTGATTACGTATTACATGGAGATACACATTGATGATTCTAAGGGCTGCCTCGCTCCCTAGACCAGCGATGGCGAACCTATGACACGCGTGTCAGAGGTGACACTCGAACTCATTTTTTTGGTTGATTTTTCTTTGTTAAATGGCATTTAAATATATAAAATAAATATCAAAAATACAAATCTTTGTTTTACTATGGTTGCAAATATCAAAAAATGTCTATATGTGACACGGCACCAGAGTTAAGTTAGGGTTTTTCAAAATGCTGACATGCCGAGCTCAAAAGGTTTGCCATCACTGCACTAGACTATATGCTCCAAGTGGCCGGGGACTGTGTTGATTTGTTCCCATATTCTTCACCCCAGCAAAGGCCTGACCTAACAGGTCCCTCAAACATGTGTGGAATATGGGGAAGGAAAAAACACAACACAGGAAAAGCCATAGCTCCCTTGTGTCGCCCTCCCGAGGCCGGCCCTTGTCCCCACAACCTCCGAGGAAGTGAGTGGTGAGGCCCCCTTATTTCTACCTCCTTACTTCTCCTTTCCTCCACCCTCTGCATTTCCACAGAAAGGGCCAGGATCTGTGCTGGACAGAGGCCGGAGGACTGTCAGCCCTCCCCGCCCCCCCAGCACGGTCCTCCCCTGCTAAGGTGATCCTCTCCGCTCTGCTTCCACCACAAGGTCACAGGACAGGCCCGTGTAAAAACCCCCAGTGCACACAGACATGCATTGGCGCAAAACAACTCTAGGGGGGAAAACCTTTTTAAAGTCTCTGCCGTTTTAGTGTCATGTTTTGAAACTTCCCCTTCCCCAAGGCTCAGTCCGGGGCCTTCTGTGTGTCAAGTCTTTAAACAACAGTTCTCAATAGCAGTGAGATGGGAGCTCTGAGGGCTCTGCTTGCTCGTATTTCAGTTTCTCTCCTCGCTCAGGAGAGTCCTCATTTTCCTATTGGTTGGCAGTTTCAGGGTGACCCGGCGTGGGTGGGAACAAGAGCCCCTGCCATCTTCCAGGGAGGTCAACAGGCTTCACCCAGGATACCGGGGGCTTCGGGGTGGGAGGGGTCTTCCGAGAATCTCCGTCCACCTGGGAAGCTCTTCTTTCCGGACTGGCTCGCCCTCACTTGTGATCCCTCCTCTCAGCTCAGGACTGTGCTGGCCCAGCAGTCCCCAGGACTCCGGGAGGGCACGCTGCCTGGGCCCAAACTGCAGCAACTGTGGCTCTAGCTTCCGGAAGGGAAGACGGGAAGCCTCCAGGGCCCCAGACCCTGCCCTGGCTTCAGTCAGCGCACATCAGTGGCTTTCCAGAGATCTTCAGGTCATCGAAGGGCAAGAGAGCAAAGGGCTGAGAAAGAGAATGGAGAGAAGCAAGGTCAGGGTCCGGGGGGGAGGGGGGAAAGGCAGTGGTGGGGGAAGGGAGCTGGGGAGACCTATTGGGTCGTTTGCTCCCCATCAACTGACTCTTGGGCAGGAGGGAACAAATCTTCCTACTAATCTCCCAAATGGTAATCCCTCTGGGCTAGCAAGAGTCCCGAGGCCTTAGGCAAGTCCTCCCTCTCTAAGAAAATCCCTGAATATCACAGATAAGAAGGACCAAGGAGGTGATCCAGCCCAAGGGTCTAGTTTCTGGGGGGTTGGGGTGGGGGAAGGGTACTCACAAAATATTTTTAATATTTTTTTACATTGAACACTTAAAAATGGAGACTATACAGAAAATCTAGGTTTCATCTCTCTTAAAACATTCCCAAGACCTGGAAATGCTGGACCATATTCCCCCTCAGCAATTATCTGCTGAAGCTGAATGGAGTGACCCTCGGTCAGAGACTCTCTGGCCTCCCACAGGTCCCGCCACCCACTGTACTACATCTGGCCTGCTTCCCTGATCCGCGTTAGCTACAGTCCAAGTTTGGGCTGAGAGAGGGGCAGAAGCTTGCCCAGGATCCCACAGTTGGCGAGTGGCAGAATCAATGGATTGCCCCCCAGGATCCTAACTCCGTGGTCGCCAAACCGCGGCTCGGGAGCCACATGAGGCTCTTTGGCCCCTTGAGTGTGGCTCTTCCACAAAATACCACGTGGGGGCGCGCACATACAGCGCGAATGAAACTTCGTGGCCCATGCGCAGAAGTCAGTATTTTGTGGAAGAGCTGGTATTTTGTGGAAGAGCCACACTCCAGGGGCCAAAGAGCCGCATGTGGCTCGCAAGCCGCGGTTTGCCAAGCCGCAGTTTGCCGACCACTGTCCTAACTCCTTGGCGATTTCAGCCATCACAGCTCCGGTCTCTGCTAAGGGTGTGGGAAGGGCTGGAGAGCAGAGCTGAGTGTGTGCCTCTTACATCCTCAGCCAGGTCCTGGGGCGTCACATCCTCAGCCAGGTCCTGGGGCGTCTCGTCCTCCACGTTCCTCAGCAGAGAGTCGGCACCTGCTTCTCGCAGGGTGGACGAGATGCTCTTGAGGCCGCGGCCTGCAGCAAGGTGCAGGGGTGTGCACCCATTGAGCATACGGGCGTCTACCCGGGCCCCGGCCTGGAGCAGGAACTGTACCAGACTCCGCTCCTGAGTCTCCACAGCCAGGTGCAGCGCTGTCTTCCCACTCGTGCCCTCCTGGAGGAAAATAAGGGTGTCTTCCAAGGCCCTCAAGAGGAAGCATGCTGGGTCCAGGCCCCGGGGAAGGTGTGTGCCACCACTTCTGACACTGGGAGTGGACCTGAGGGCTGGACCAGGTGACGGGCAGACACCAGGCCAGGCAGCACCCTGACTGGCCACCTCACCTGCACATCAATGTCCGCTCCATTTTCAAGAAGCAGTTTCATGAGTGGCTGGTTCCTCTGCAGAGTGGCGATGTGGAGACAGGCCAGACCTAGGATGGAGTGAATGTGGAGGCTGCTAATCTGCATCCACCAACTCTCTCTCCCCCACTCTTCAGGGACCTCCCTAGCCCTCGGCCCCAAGGGACCCACTGCCCACTCAATATCTCTGATCACAGGGCTGTTAAAACCCAAACCCAAAAACCCCCTCAAAAGTCTGAGGGGAAAGGAACGTAAAGTTTCCACCTTTTCAGAGTCATGTTATTGAAACTTTCATGCTTCAGGGGTCAGGTTGCTGAGTGACACCCCCATACAGGCACCCTCCCCTAACATCCCCCCTCCCGCATTCTCTCTAACTCTAACTGCCTGCTTTGAAACCCTGGCCACAGCCACCTTCTTCAGAGGTCTCTGGGATCCTCATACCCCAGCCCCACACCCCCAGGGCCACTTCCTCCCATGCGCTTCCCTACCTTTTTTCTGGCTCCTCTGCTTAAAGAACTAGATTCAGATTCACACGTCTGCTCAAAGGTCCCTGCTCCACAAGGCTTTCCCTGACCACTATTCAATCACATGTAATCACACAGCCCCACCCACCCCCACATTCCAATTCTTCTCACTCTGTTCTTCTTTCCCGAAGCACCGACTGCCTTTTAACCTACTAGATAATCCACTTCCTATATTTATTGTCTATCTCAATCCTTCTGTTTTGTTCACAGATGCAGTCCCAGGTTCTAGAATAGTGTCTGGCACAAAGAGGCCCTCAGTACATTTTGTTGAATGAATTAATGATCTCTGTTCAACTGAATATCTTTTTTTTTTTAAATATTTTATTGATTTTTTACAGAGAGGAAGGGAGAGGGATAGACAGTTAGAAACATTGATGAGAGAGAAACATCAATCAGCTGCCTTCTGCACACCCCCAACTGGGGATGTGCCCGCAACCAAGGTACATGTCCTTGACCGGAACCGAACCTGGGACCTTTCAGATCGCAGGCCGATGCTCCATCCACGGAGCCAAACCGGTCAGGGCCAACTGAATATCTTGAGGGCAAGATTTAGATCTCTGTTTAGCACACAGCAGGTTCTAAGTGAATTCTAAATCAAATTCATTCATCCAGCAAAGATGTACTGAGTATCTATGTACTTAGACCTGGAGGTGCATCAATGGACAAGCTATGGTATGAACCCCCCTCCCCTCCCCTCCCCTCCCCTCCCCTGAGAGTAGGGTCCTGGTCTCTTGTCCCCTTT